TAAATGTATCCAAACAATATGTAAAGTTAAAAAAACAATGTGTCCTGCCCTGATCGTCCGCTCCTTCTGTGTGCCACGCCCCCTCGTTAACCCCGTGTGTAATCCCAGTGTGATCAGCTGTTTCTGGTTGTTGTCATTAGTCCATGTTTCAGTTTGCTTCCCTAGTCCGGTCATTGTATTGTCCGTCTGCGTTTTGCCTGCCTTACCTGTAATTAACCCCGTATTCCCCGATACCCTGACGTCTGCGCCTTTGTCTCTGTTCCGTCCCCGCTCGGCACAACAATATAATTATAATTAAATATAGTAATGGTTTATCATTAATATTAAAATAATTAATAAGCAATCTTCATTTAAAAATGTATTTTATTATATAACAATTACTGTTACTCTCTATCATTGTCTAAATGTATTTTTACTGTCTAAATATATGTATTCAATTAGTGTAAACATGCACGATGCCATCACAGCGAATGCGAGGCTGAGACTGAAGCGTTACCCTTTGTTTCCACTGAGAGACGTGCAGCGTGACTCATTTCCTCGCATGTACAAGTTATCTTAGGTCGGCGTTCACGGTTTGACTTCTGAGATTCAGATCGAGTCCTAGGTAATTTTTTTTCGAACTGGTTGGTTCGACTTTTAAGAAATTCGAGTTCTAATGAGTTACAGAACTGAGGTACCACTGTATTTGAATATTACTCCTTATACTGACTGCTGCACTCCTATAAACTTATGATTAATCTGTAAGAGACTCAGTGATGTTAAGATAATGCATTTTTGCTGCTGCATTGTAAATAAAAAATGCAAAGTAGCCAAAAATGAGAAATTAAAATCAGAGCTGAGCGCTACAATAAAGTGTTGTGATAAAGAAAACGATATGCCTGCCTTCTGAATTCTAATAATAACTATCCATTTAGCAGCTGCCATCAAAATACATGCAGTTTGTTCTCTGACACCCCCTAGTGAATTAAATTCATTATCCAAGAAAAGCATTTGTAAGTGATTCAGATGGAACAGAAGACTCCCATCCTAAACTCCCATCGTCAGCATAAAATTGACTCTGGGAAGTGACATGAAGGCGAACCACACAGAAGACACAGCGGCATAGACCTTTGGCACCAGACAACCAGGACCTGAGTGATAAACAGACCATCAATAACATCAGTCCAGCACAAACATGGCTACTTAACTGGCACTTAATTTCACATGATACCCACATACCTCACCTCCCTGTTGGATGTCAAAGAGCGATGCATACATTTCTAATTGAACTCATTTAACGCAGTAGGTAAGTGCACTGTAACACACTTTATACCCAATTTGGAAGCAAAATCAACAGGCGAAGCACTTTACCGAGCATTTAATAAATAAATAAAAACATTCAAACTGCTGACGACTCGCTATAGCAGAAAGCTCTATGGTAAGCAGCATCTCGTGATTGCCACAGTGTGAGCTGCTTAATTATTCAGCATCGTTTAAGTGATGAAGCTCCTTCTGGGACTGCGGTACAAACGCCACAAGCAGCCTCTGAAGCGGGACCGCGACCGTCAGACGGGGTCTCAAGGACCGCGACCGTCAGACGGGGTCTCAAGGACCGCGACCGTCAGACGGGGTCTCAAGGACCGCGAACGTCAGACGGGGTCTCAAGGACCGCGACCGTCAGACGGGGTCTCAAGGACCGTGAACGTTAAATAAGGCTGCAGGAACCGCAACCGGTAAATGATGTCGCAAGGACCACGGTCACTGAGCAGGGCTAGAGACCTTTAAAAGCGGCCACACCTCCAGAACAGGATGACCATAACTTCACTGGACTGCAACCTCAGAACAGAACAAGACCTAGAAAGCAGGATCTTTCAGAAAATCAGGTAGCCAGACAGATTTATCCAGGAGCACTTGTGGGTTAGTTTACCTACCTAGCTGGCTGAAGCACTTTGGACTGACAACAGTGTAGGGGTGTGTGGGGGCCGGATTCACCCCCTCGTTCCCACGACAGCATGGATATTGGATACAATCAGCGTGTTTTGGTGTCATACTGAAGCCGTTTGTAAACAGGGGCCTCAGGCCGCAATTAACGGGCATTTCGGCAGAAACGTTAACCTTCTCCCAATCTCCACCCGGCAGCTGAGAGTGTGTTGAACTATATGGAACCATCTAAGAGAACAAATACGGCACGTGGCCTTCGTGAGATCAAGTGGGAGACTTGCTGCATGAGGCGCACCCCAAGGGGCCACGTCGAGACCTATGCCACGCTTCGGGTGGGCTGGGGACCGATTTGGGGATTTTGAGGGGCAGCCGGCCCTTTAAGACATGGACAGTGACTCAACTTGAGTTGCAGGTGCTGCACATTCAGCATGATGTGCCATGGCCCACCATCAACAGTAGAGGGAGCCCTCTAGCATATTAGGAGCAGGGCTGGGTATCCTACCCAACTCAGGAGCTGCATAAGTCTCTGTAATGGAGGCCTGGGGGGGCACTTTTGTTTACGTGTGTGTGTGGGGGGGCGGACTTTTTCAACATCTGCTGTAAAGACGCAGATTTTGTCTAAACAAACCAGGACCTGCAAACAGACACAGGTACAAACGTGCATAGATAGTAATGGAGCTACCAAATCAACGAGTAAAGCCACCCCGGCACAGCCACGGCCCCCCCAATGGCCACAGAAGCATCACACTCCCAAGCTCCTCAGGACTGGGTCAGAATGACGAGCGATAATGACTGACTGGATAATCTGGGACAGCTTTGATAGAGCCGGCGGTTAAGTGCAGGGAAACAAAAGTGAGGAGATGTTTCCCATATGGGGCGCCAGACTGCACCCCCACCTGAACGCTCAGATGCTTTTATCTCGCCCCTGAGCGCCCGCTCTGCCACCCCCCCCCAGTTGGAGTTTGTTTACATCATGCGGTTTATTTTCCTTCTAATCTTCTCAAAGCCCCTCCCAGACCGGGTGGCTGAGACCGTGGGGGTGAGTCACCCTGAGACACTGGGATGTCACCCGTCACCAAGGGTGACAAAACCCTGCATTCCTGTACCACGGCGCAGGTGCAAAAAGCTGATATTGGTGTCTGGGTCCATAGAATCATCCAGAATCCGGCCTAAATGTCACTGAGGAGACATCACAGCATAATGAGGTGAAGCTGCTGCCACAATCACACCTCCAGGATTGTGTGTTTGAATCCCGTTCCAGTGCCGTCTGGGTGTGGTTAGTTCCCGCGTGCTGCTCGCCACACCCCTAAACAGATGGGTAGATATCCTGTTTAAACAGCACCTTTCTAATAACCCACAAACGGCGCCAATAAAACACAGAAATTGTCTCAATTTAAAAGCATAACCGCTCCCAAACAAAACAAAGCATTAAAAAACAGCATAATTACAGTCATCTTTCAAATCCACGCGTCATGCATGGTACTTAGCGCTCCATTGCTTTTTGGTTCCCTTTCTCAGTAATAAAGCCAGTCTTCCGACGGCAGTAATAATTGCGTTGATGAACATGCAAAGGCACCGGAATGGCGCTCCGGCGCGACTCAGTAGAGGAGCAAAGCCGCCCGCGCTAAGGCGGCTAATCGCGTCTACACGCCGCGTCCTCTGCTTATTTAACACCTTTAATACAAGCTTACGGTCCTTCAAAAAGCTCAGCCACGATGGAAACCTCCTGAACTCGCGTATAAGCTGCTGTATCCCACAACATATATAAGGCTTTTTGCATTAGGGAATTTAAGGAACGTGTTGATACGTTAGGCGTAACTCCTAATGCATGCTTGATTCTTTTATTGCTAATCTCAACAAATCGCTAATGGTTCTAAAACATATACAAGCCCCAAAGGTGATCTCCCTGATCCTATTAGGTAACCCCCCCCCAAATTAGATCCAAGGAACTCCCGTCTAATCGCTCTTAAATCGAATCTGGGCTGCAGATCGTTCGTCCCACCTGTAAAGGAGTCACATGACCCTGGAAGTCACGTGACGCTCGGTCAATTACCAACCACACGCAGCTTTGACTTCAAAAAGAGGCTCCATGCGCGTCACCCCCGATGCAGCCACTGCATCCCAAGTCACACCTCGGCATCACCGCGAAGCGGGCCGTGGGCGTCAAAGCGATCCGCAGAAATGTTTCCATGTCAGCACACAGCTGTAAAGCGTGGCTGAAAAATCTCCGGCTTCACTCCAACCCGAGTAAACAATAAAAGGAAAAAAAAATATATATAATACATATATATATATATATATGTTATTTATGACTAGGTAACTTCCCTGTTTTCATCAGTCCGAATTATTTTCTGGTGGAAAAGCACACTCATTTCTGATGTGATATGGTGAATGGCCCCATTTTAAAAATAAAAAAATTGCTACTTAAACTTAAGATCAAACAATTACATACTAGCCTGGTTATTTAATAAACATTTAAAAATACTTCCTGCTGCAGAGGTATGAACTCAAAGTGTGTTTGCAGAGTGTAAATATATCATCCTTATTACACCGTTAAAATAGCGGATAGTAACACTTGGGGAAATATAATATAGTATTATACTATTACTTCTGTATTATTTAACCACAAACTTAGTAATACTGATCTCATATTTGTTCATCATTAATTAATCATGATGCATCTTTCCTCCCAAGCAGTTACTATATGTGTTACTATATCTGTTAATACTGTAAATCTTAGTGAACTACTGAAGGAACAAGTCATGAATAACACAAGTGGAATACTGATCTCTTGTTTGTACATCATTAATGATGACGCATTTTTTACCTCAAGTTGCAACTATGTTTGTTCATAATTTGTACTTCAGTCGTAACTGAGTTATTACTCAGTATTTGTGCCCCGTCAAGTAAAGTGTTACTTTCAGGATTACACCCAAAAAGTAGGACTTTATCCACACATCCTCCAGTTGCTTCTCCAATACAGGATCATTGGTTTACAGGCTTATGTACATTTTAGATATCGATTATGGTATGAGAATTAACCAACAGTGGAATTAAACAGAAGACTCAGCACATCTGAATAGCTTGAAAATTTAAACTAACATTTATTTGCTTTTCTCCCCCCCCCTAAAAATGTGAAAGAAAAAGAATGACCCATCCTGTGGGTACAAACGCTGATAAGCCATATAGCAGATGCACTTCAGAACAGTTTTTTTTTTTTCATTCATTCCAAGCCGACGGAAAGAAAACGGAATGCGATCCAAACGGGGGCCTCTGGAGCAGACGGGACTCCGCCTCCCAGACGTGAGGAACCAAAGAACACGGATGGGGGTGAACGGGAATGCATGTAAAAAGCATATGCGACATCCGAGAGGACGACGCCGTTTCCAACGCTGTGCGACCTCTGTACAGTTAGGTTTCCTTCATCTGTCAGGCCTATGAATACTTTGGGGTTTTCGGCTCAGAAAGCTACAGCCTAGCTCACGCTCTTCTTCTCGCCATTTTCTATGATTTTATGCTTCTTTTCCTCGGTTTCAGTCTTGAAAACATTGGCCTTGTAATACTGCAGCTCTTTAATGCTTTCCTGGATATCATCTAAAGCTCTAAAAAAAAGAAAAGAAAAAAAACAAGACATCACAAAACACATTTCATGAAATATAATCTATGCAGTCTGCATGCAAACCTATGCATACTACTGAAGTCCAAAGTCTTGTGCTATACTGCCATCTGGTGGCTAAAGTTCATCATTTAAAAATCTTTGAAGTGAGATTATAGAAGAAAACAACGGGTGTCAGAGAGACAAAACAGGCACTTTCTCATGTTAAAGGCTAAGTAGATGCCCATTTAAACTGCTCCACACACCGCTATGTTCTGAGGGGTGTCAGGACCCAGCAGAGGAACTTAATCACTAGGCTGGACAAAGGAATGGATCTCAAGTGCACGGTCATGCGATGCTGCTTCTGCATCAGTTTTCTATAAAGACATTTATCCAAAGTTAAAAACAAAAACCTGTGTGAAGCCTTTTTCTGAGGAGCCAGCTTGTACTCGATGGGAAACCAGCGTCTAAAGCAGAGACAGGAGAGAGACGGGTCACACCGACAAGGACGGACGCAGCGTCACAGCAGCCTAAAAGCAGACCCAGGCCCCTCTACCTACTGGGGAGGCCCTGAGTGCTTAATGTGTAAATCAGAATGTGCTGGAATGTGAAGGGCGTATGAGAGCGGGGAGGTAAGGCACAGGTCCTGGAACGTGCACAAGACATGGTGCTGGAAACATGCTGCGCATTTTAAAATAATAAATCTAAACTAATAAAAAGGACATGAAACTGTGAAAATTGGTCTGCACGTTAATACATATTCATTGCATTTTACTTTGTTATTTAATGCAATTATTATTATTATTTTTAACCAGACAGCTGCCAAATCAGCGCAAATAGGTGCCAAAACGCAGAGTGTCAAAAACAGAGAACCTGGAAAGCATTCAGGCAGGATACAGCACAAATTAAGCAGTGGAGGCCCCCCCCCCCTATGAAACAAGGGGGCACACATTGACCATACGATTCAAACGTTTTTGAAGGGGAAATCCCCTCAATCTAGTGATGTTACGTTTGGGAACGATCTCATCCTTTTCAACGGCTCTTTGGTACCAACGAAGGGAACAGAGTCATACTTAAGGGCCGCTCTTTTTTTAATCATTGTGCCCGAACTTCACTGCCTGCCTTGAATCCAATTCAGTCCCCTTTATGTGAACAGTGTGAACCAGCCAGTCACAAGACGTAGACATTGTCACATTAAAAGACAGAATGTACATACTAATACTTTAGAGCCTCCTGAAAAGCTAAGGAATAAAAACATTTTTTTGTAGTTTCAAAAGCTCCTTTAGCATCACGCTAAAGGTTTCATTAGCATCTAAAAAGAGCAGCTGTCTATGTACCCTATTAGCCTGAGAGGCTGGCCAGTGTCCCTTACCTGCACAGCTCCTTGATGGTGCTCACGTCGATGATGCGATAGTGCAGGTGGTGCATGAACTGGGGCATGTATTTATCTAGGAACTTCTTATCAGCATGCACCGAGTTTCCTGGGGAAGAGCAGAACCAGACATGGTGAGGTGCAATAAGGCACCGGCTGTGTCCAAATTCAAGGGCAGCGTCCTTCTAAGCTTGCATTCAAAGACTGGATGCTTCAGCACATTCAGCGGCTGCCCCACCCCTCTTGCTGGGCCGCAAAGGATGTTCCTGATGGATCCTTCGCAGCCCAACTTCTCAAGATTCACTGCACGGACCTTCGGAGGACTCGGCCTACGCCGACCGAAGGATGCAGCCCCCGAATTCGGACACGGCTACTGTGGGCAATCCTTTGCTACAAAGGCTAGCATAAAAACCTCACATGTACAGACCGCCTATGCATAATACACTCCTGTAAGGATATCTGAAGCTATGACATCATGCCCAGCACTGCTGGGTCCTCAGAACGATGATTTTGCAGGAATGACATGCTTCGTCAAACAGGGCTCACCAACACGAACAGCTGTCTTGAGCAACACTAATGAGCCAATCATGTGATAGCACAGGTGGTCACATGGGTGGAGGGTGGGCGTCTTCTCACCCGCTAGTGGACAGTGGCCAGGTGGGGTGTGCTGCCGGACGAAGGACAGGAACTCGTACTCCGCCTGCTGCAGGGATATCTTACTGTCCCTCACAGCCTGCGTCAATCCCGACTGGAAAAGATGACGAGCCCAAAGTCAGACTGCAACCCAGTGTAAACATCATCTGAGGTTATTACACTTCAGGAGGGACAGTGTTAGGAAGCTTACTCACAAAATAATCCATTACAGTCAGTTGAGTACGCTGACTCTTTATACTCAATTGGTTGATTGAAACAAATCCCTGGTCTGGATTTGTACTTTCTGGACCTGAACTTTCCACCTCTGTCTGTAATGAGTTACGTTTGTGAGTAACTTCCCCAACACTGGAGCTACACGGTGTGTGGGTTTACCTTCCCGTGGTGCTCCTTACACCAGTCAGACATGCTGTCCAGGAGTTCGTCTGACTGGTTGATGATTAAATTGGGACCCTGTCAAAAGATATAGCGAACAACAGATATTAAAAAAAAAAAAAATCCACCAACAAAAACTGGTAACAACGACCGTGAGGGGAGCCTCGCGATTATCACCTCAGCCAAAACGTTCATGTCTGAGTCGGTAATGATGCAGGCCATTTCGATGATTTTGTCCTTTTCAATGTCCAAGCCAGTCATCTACAGAAAAAAACAACCCTATTATACTCTGAACCAGCCGTAATCATCGGTGTACATCCATTAAAATAATGCATATGGCGGACTGCCGCTACACTTGCGGACGGTATTTCAACACAGACATAAAGAATCAAGAATTTCTAACAGGAATCAATAAAGTTCATCTTAATCTTAAATATGTTCTTGATGGTATAGCCAGTGCGTAAAACGTAAGACGACTAACTCAGCCACGCATTATTAAAAAGTGGACATTCACACCAGACGACATATAATAAGCAAATTGCCTTACGTGCTGATTAGAAGGCTTGATTTACTTAAGTGAAGGAAGGAAAAATAAAGCGGATTAACGCATAGGTAAAGTGTACAGATGCGCGATAAGACGCCAAGTTCTGCCGCCATCGCGACCGGGTTAAAGCAGAACGTGCGTGCAAATAAACCAGCGGCAAGCATATCTAGGGCCGCTAAACCAGCGACGTGGCAAATAAAGAGAAAATAAAGCTGAGTAACACTGCTACTTTTTGGCCTTTTTATTTTCCTGCAGAACAGGAAGACGATCGTCTGGCGTTTCGTTCTGCCTCAGCAGTAAAAATGAAGATAGTTCTCTCAAACTACGATTAAACTGTTACATAGATGAATGAATGGATAAGCTAGATGAAGGCAAATAAATAAATAAATAAATGCATAGATGGATGGATGGATGGATGCAAACCGGCTGGCCCAAGGCAGCAAGGCCCACGGCGCCCCGTCACGACTAGGCTGCCGATCTAGGACTGCAGACCCGGCCACTACCTCCAGATCGACCCACACCAGCCTCTGGGTCATGTCTTCAGACAGGACGGCTGACGAAGCTGTCATGTTCATACGGATGGTCGAGGAGTTCTCCAAAGCAGACGGCCTGGGCGTCGCTGTTTTTGACGGTACTAGGCTGACTGAAGGCAAGCACCATGCGCCCGTTTGGAAGGGACGTGTCCGGCCGACGGAAAGCCACGGAAATGCGGAAAAAGCCGTCACCCCGCGCCCAAGTCGTGCTCTGACCAGCCACGCTGCTGTTCCTATGTACGCCGGCATCCTGGCCGACTTCCGACACGAACTGTCGTAAAGCGTCTGAAAATGAAAGCGGAAACGCTCCGAAAGACTACAAATGTAGTGCGAAAAACATTTAAAATAAAGCAAACATAATTTGTTCTAAACATACATTTTGTTAAATGCTCCCTCTTTTCTCCGTATGGAAAAGTCATCACCACTTTGTCCTCATACTAAATACACATTTTATGATTCCATAACTTCTGACCTGGTGCCGTACACCGGTCGCGCGACGGTCAGCTGACTGCGCGTGGTCTTGACTGACAGGTCACTTAACGTTATGCATTATTTTTGGCAGACTAAATAATCAAAATGCATCTAGTTTGGTTTCTCCTGGTAATGTAATGGCGGAAAGAAAACGCTTCGTTGAATGCTTAGTCTGCATCTGCAGCTCGTGTTAGGTAACGCTGTGTTGTTTTTTTTTTTTTTTTTTTTAGCTCAAGTTCAAATAAATTGCACAGCGTTTTTTTTTTTTTTTTTTTTGAGCTCAAGTTCAAATAAATTGCACAGCGTGTTGTTAAAGACGATTTGCCCGAGACAGGGTGTTGATCCTTGCGTGGGTCTCCGCCAGGACCTTACACGGATTTCCTTAGTTTATAATTTGCGGCCTTGCACTGATACCACATTGATCTGTACGACACCCTATATTAAGGCACGGGTGTATAATTTATAAGCCTAGCTCTCAACGGAGACCACTATAACTTAATTAAAAGTCTGTTGGAGGATATTTACAGGACACGGTGCAGTTAATGGAGTTGATTGAGTTGTGACATAACATATTTGCGCACTGCCATCATCGGCGTGCCCCGTCATGTCTCCATCCACGCTGCGCCCATGCACGGCTGCCAGCTGCGCCCTGCTCCCCGCCCGAACCAGGTGCTGCTCTCCGGGGGACCCCTCACACAACCATTGCGTTTTCCTTAAGCAAACTGCGCTGATTCTTCACATCATATCCAAGATATTAGAAGGCCATCGGTCCTTTCGGAAGTACACGTTTTTACTGGGCTGCTGAAATTTTGCGTGACGCAAAAACATATCTAACACAATTCAAAATTTTCAATTTAACATAATATGCTTGCTTGTAAATAATCAAGGAACTAAAAGCAGTGCTTTTAAATGTTGATTTTGCAAACTGTCCCTCAGCACGGGTGACTCCCCGCCATCCTGAGCGTTTTACAGCGACCGCAGTCCCAGCCGCCCTTGGCCTTTCACGTCATGTTTACTCTCGGCACTGGTACCAATTGGCAGAGGAGGCTTTGAAGTTAATTCCACTCTGCCAATGCGTTTCAGATGGACAAATGCATAAACATGAACATAAATACCACAAGAAAACATTTTTTGAACTTATTTAGAAACATTGCGGCCATGCTTTTAATAAAACGCAGAATGGATGGTCCTTAGAAATGCGTTTTATCTTAAGCTTTTGAGAATCATGAGGAGCTCCAGCACGTATGTGGAATAAAATTCAATAATAATAATAATTAAAAAAACATTAAAGAAGGGGTAAAACTACTAAGAAACAAGAATGGAAATGAAATCTCATAAAATGAAGTATCTCTCATGTCTAAATAGTCTAATAAAGTAACGCTATGGTAAATTAACACTAAAACGTCTTGGAATACAAAACTGCGTGACTATGTTAAGTTTAACGAGTACGACGGATTTACATGACAAATGCGCAAACAGGCTTATAAAGAAACCCCATAAATCACACAGAAAGTGGCAGCGCTGCTGAGGGCGCAAACAAATACAGCGAAAAGGACGTTACTGGATACATGAAATGTAAGGGAAAAAAGCAGCAATTCTTATAGACCCGGTGAAACCAGTTTAATCACCTTAATGTATTTTCTAAATATAAAAATGACAACCGAAGTTGCTTTATTGACATGATTGTGATTAACATTGTTATTTATTAAGGGAAATAAGGGGCAAGTTATGGCATTTATATCGTTAACTTTTGAAATGTATGATCTGCAAAAAACGCTAAGGGGAGAGAGAGAGAGGGAGAGAGAGAGAGAGGGAGGGAGAGAGGGAGATGACAATGCGGGTATAATAGACTATTTACGAACACGCAACGGATCACTGACATATGGGTAGTCGAAGAGTGTCAGGGCAGTTCAGCACTGATCCAAATGAATTTCGTCTGGAAATAATAAGCTGAAAGTAAAGGCGACTCGATGTAACTGTTTCACGGCCGCTCGCTGCTTGCGCTCCGCCGGTGACCATGCAGTGCCAAACGGAGTCATTGCTCTCTCCCCCCGCGTCAGTCGGAGTACCCAGGCATCGCTACAAGACTTTCATGATAGACGAAATCCTTTCGGACGAGACTCGCAAAAACTTGGAGAAACAGTCCTTCGGCTCCCTGGGACAATATTTCATCGTGCGACTAAAACCTGAGTTTCATCGTTCTGCGCAGAGCTTCCACCCAGGTAAGCGGGATGCACACGTATTACCATCTATTCGGATGTTTAATGAATTAATTTAATTAGCAGAATTGTAGACTTAACGCTAATAACACGAAATGCTCCCCATTCGGACAGTTTTTCGTATTATCGCCTCATTATCACCCTATGCCGAAAAGGGGTTTGCTAATTAAACCAGAAAATGTGGTATCAGGTTACTTGTAATATCACGTTTCCGATTTGGATTTTAAAATTTCAGATATATTAGCGTGCATTGTGTACTTTTTCACTGTAACTTGAAGCAAATAGATGACAGGCCCTCAGTATAGATACAGAAAAATCTTGAAAAAAGCAAACGGGGAATTTTACTGAGTTCAGTTAGGCGCCCGTTATTGAGGGGCTATAGCGAGCATATGAACGAGCAATTCCCCATTTATTAAAGTAATTCTGGTACAGGTGACGCGTTGTTTCTCAATGATGGTCGAGGTAGATTAGAATGTCAGGGTACTACCTGCGGATGAAAATGCGTCTTTCTTCCTGAAGACAATATTATTTCCCGACCCGTAACCATAAACCCAGAACCAAGTTCGGCTTTGGCCAGCGAAGTCCGGTGTGGGTCTCCCTGCCATGCTGAAGTATAGGCCTATATGAACAATTTACAAAAGTGTTAATATTCATAAAACTGAGTGAGTGAAAAATGAGTGAAAAGGAAACGTTGATAGTAACGCGCTTAATTGGAATAGCGAGTGTCACAGGCGCGCTGGTGTGAAGCCCGAATTATTTAAAACGAACTTTTATATAACTTTATATAAACACACACACACACACACATTAGCAATATAAATATTTATACACACGCATACACACACACACACACACACACACACACACACACATATATATTTATGCATGCATATACAATATAAATATATATTTATACACACACAGTTTAATATTATTATATGACAGTACAGAAAACCCATATTAAACTAGCGCAATTCCCTTTTACTCTACACACCTACTGATAGCCGCAGGTTGATAACCTGCTATGAGGACGATTGTATGGGCTGGTTTATTGTTATAATTATCAAGCAACTATGATTTGGAGGTAATTACAGAACTATTATGGAAATTACACCTATGCAAAATTGGTTTGATGACGGATAAGGAATATGCTTGAATGGTATATTTTGTGTGTACTTCACAGTAAATTGCTAAAGCCTTGGTGGTTTGTACATCCAGCGTGTTATTATTGTGACCCGTCTGTATCCGAAATCAGGACCTGCACCCCTGTTTGTTTAAAGCCTTTTTGTAAAGGCCAGGATCTGGTGTAATCCCAAATCACACTTTCTCTCCTGTCGCCAGCCTCCTACCGAAGATTATTCTTTGTCGTTTGTCGATCATGGACGATTAATGTATTGAACCATAGTCCCAAAACTGTTTTGCAGCGAGAGCCACTTTCACAAAAGGAATAAGTGTGAAGGTGATGGTCTGATTATTCACCGTTCAGCTAGTTGGCTGAGGATGTCTTGGAAATTGACCTGCTGAGCTTATTGGTCGGTTGGCGACCAATGGTAGGCCTATAGGCAAACGCGGACGAACAACTTCCGATACATTTAACACCTGCTTTCGGTGTCAGATATAGCACCTGCATTTCTATTTAATCTCTTTGAAAAACCCCCTTCTATAAATTGGCTTTAATATAAACAAACAAGTAATCATTACAAGTTTTCTGTACATTGTTTTTGTTTTATTATATTTGCTTATATTTCTCAATTTTCTTAATAGGCAACTTTGAAATTGCTTTTCCGGTAAACTTTTGATCTGCTTGTAAGTGTGTGATCTGGTTAGGTAGTGATACACTTGCACATACTGTACTTTCAAGGGTATCGGGCTGAAAAAGCCCCACGGCGTGAGTCTGCGCTGCTATTTATTTGTGCTTGAAGAAACACACGTAGCTGCAATTCCATTTCTACGTCATCGTTTGTTTTTTGTTCAGTAGTTGGAAATGGCATCTGTCATTTACAAATGGCAGGATCCCCTAGAGACGCGCCGCTAACACGTAGCGAGCGAACGGCACTGAACTGTTAGCGCACTCGGCCTTCATGGGAGTTTCTTGCCACACGGCGAGAAGCACGCTGGTTTGATCTTCCTCAAGCAGCGTGCATCTCCCCTATTGTTTGTGGCGTTAAAATATACTAATTTAATCTTGAATAATGTATAAAAATGAGAAACATTTTATAGCAAGAAATATCTGAAGGAGGTGTTGAGCAGCCGTGTTGAGCAGCCGTGTGGCGTTGATGGATGCAGCTGGGCTGATTCCAAGCTCCACGTTTTTTCAGGTATTTGCCAGACGAGCAAAGCACCGAGCGCCCCCACACCAGGTGTCCAGCGGATGGCGCCCCTGTACCACTTCTCCGCCTCCGCCTCCGCCTCCCCCCTGCTGTCTGAAACATCCTGTGTCCCCTCGCTCCGCGGAGGCTGCCCGCTCCTGCCATGTCCCGGTAAGCCATCTGCTGGGCTTAGGGGCAGACTGGGATCGGAGCATGACGCCCCCATCTTCTCCGAGGGGCAGCTTGTGGGCTTGGAGAGGAAGTTCCAGAGGCAGAAGTACCTGTCCA